ACAGCCAATAAAAACCAGGCTGTCCCAGACCTCCCAGAGGGCCTTCTCTGCGACCGCTCCCCTGCCGGACGAGATCCGTCTCATTACTACTCTTACTGCTTTTAAAAAAGCAGTGAAGACGGATCTCTTCCAGCAGGCCTTCCCAGAATAACTTCTGCTCTTGGGAGATGAGTTTTTATTTTGTCCCTATTGCTGCTCATTTTCTTTTTATTGTTTTATTGCTTTTATTGCATTGTCATATTTTAATCTTTCTTAAGTTTAATTCTGTTTTAAGGGAATGGGAGGGTTGGATTGTGGGATGAGGGAATGTTTTAACTTTGTCTGTTTTAAATGCTGTAACCCGCCCCGATTGCCACGCAGAGGGGCGGGCTATAAATAAAAAATTATTATTATGAATATTATTGTTGTTGTTGTTTTAACTATGACAGATCCTGCACTCCTGCAGATCCTGTTCCCCTGGAAAACAGGGAAATCTCAGGACTGTGGGTTCACAGGTGTGGAGAGTCATGGGTGTAGTGGAGAGAAAACTGCCCTGGCATGCATTGAGCCTTGGTTGTAGTTTTTCCCCATGGCATGCATGGATCCCACAGATTAATGCATGCCAGGGCAGTTCCCCCCCCCCCCCCACTGCACCCATGATGCGCAACACCTGTGAACCCACGGTCCTGAGATCCTGCACAAGAGCACAGGATCTGTCAAATTAAAAATAAAAAACGGTGACACCATGCCCCCCTGGGATCTCTCTCTGACTTCCCCGATCTCTGCCCCACAAGGAAAAGGGGGACAATAGCGGAAAACAGATGCATGGTGATTTAAAGGAACTACTTTGACAGAGTGGAAACTTTAAAATCACAAGGAGCCCCATGGAACCACCATTAGCTCCGAGAGGGGGGGAAAGGGGCAGTTTGGCAAGACCTTTGGGGTGGGCAGTTCCGCCCATTGCCCCTCCTTCCCAGACCTCCAAATGTGATCAGCAGCACATTCACATTTGGAGCAACCTATGTCTTTTGAAAAGACATGGTAAAAGAACCATTTCAAAATGACCTGGGTCAAGAAGACTTGAGACTGCCATTTCACTCCGATTCACCCCAGATACACTTGGGGGTGAAATTGATTTGAGTGTGAACGAGGCACTTTTAACTCCATTTGCAAACTGGGTTAAATCACAGTGTGAATGAGCCCTACAAAAGCTCATGCCATCAACTTCTTTTTTTTCTTTTCAGTTAGGGCCTTTACAGACTACCAGAAATAATGCAGCTTGAGACCACTTCAACTGCCCTGGCTTGGTGCCAGGGAATGATGGGGACTGTAGTTAATTCTGGCACCAGAGCTCTCTGACAGAATGTCTCAGAAAAAACTACATTTTCCATGATTCCCTCGCATTGAGCCAGGACAGTTAAAGTAGTCTCAAGCTGCACTATTTCTGGCAGTCTGTAAAGGCCCTTAGTCTCTAAGGTGCTACATTCGGTGCTTTGCACAAGGCACAAAGGTGCTTTGCATACCAATTTTCCAAACTAACATTGCTATGTCTTTGAATTCTGCCACTCATGACAAAATGGAGATGAGACAAGAGTATTGATAGAATTCCCCTGTTCGGGTCTAGAGGAGCCTGTGATCCTATCTATGGCTCTGTGGTTTGCTATGTTCTCCCAGCCAAAATTGAACAGCCTCCTCCATCCTCACCATATAGTCTTTGGAGAATCATAGAATCACAGAGTTGGAAGAGACCACAAGGGCCATCCAGTCCAACCCCCTGCCATGCAGGAACTCCCAATCAAAGCATCCCCGACAGATGGCCATCCAGCCTCTGCTTAAAGACCTCCAAGGAAGGAGACTCCACTACTCTCCGAGGGAGTGCGTTCCACTGTTGAACCGCCCTTACTGTCAGGAAGTTCCTCCTAATGTTGAGGTGGAATCTCTTTTCTTGCAGCTTGCATCCATTGTTTCGGGTCCTAGTCTCTGGAGCAGCAGAAAACAAGCTTGTTCCCTCCTCAATATGACATCCCTTCAAATATTTAAACACGGCTATCTACTCTTAGTAGGAACCAGCTTGCCTCAGGACAGCTGGCCCTCCAGAGTTCAAGAAGGATATTGACAAGCTGGAGCGTGTCCAAAGAAAGGAGAACAAGATGATCAAAGGTCTGGAAACCAAACCTTATGAGGAATGAGAGGGATCTGGGTAATGTTTAGCTTGGAGAAGAGAAGAC